AAGCAGGAGGAAAAAAGAAGAAAAAGGAGGAAAAGTCGTGTTTATCGAGTTGCTGGTGCTGCCCGCTGGCTCCTTGCGAGGAGGGGAAGGAAGGGCACAGCCAGCCAGGAGCCACCTGCGGAGAGGAGAGGCCAGGCATGGCGGGGGCTACGGAAGGGAGGGGGGCGGCTTCCTTCCCCCCACCCCGGCCATCGCCGCTTTCCCACCGTCTCGGGGCCGGGAAAGCGCAGCCCCGCGTGCGGCCCCGCGGAGGGAGTCGGGCCCTTAAACAGTTTTAGCTGCTCCCGCTCAGCAAAGCTGTTTAAAACCCACAGGGGCCGAGCGCAGGCAGGCGGCACCCCGGGTCTGCCACGGAGAAAGGCCAAAAAACCACCAAAAACAAAAACAAAAAACAACCAACCCCGAAACAAAAGGCATGGCAATGCGCAGCGGGCGATGCGGGCGGTGATGGGCAGCACACAGGCATGGCAGCCGAAAAAGACACCGAGGCCCAGCTCAATGCAATAAATAAAACTTTTATTCAAACAATAACTCAGTACAGGGCACATTTCTCTCTGGCTTTTAAAAAAAGGTTTTTCAGCACTTTACAATCTCCATACAGGCTTTGCTAGGCTGGGTTGGTTTTGTTTGTGGTTTGTTTTTTTTTTTTCCCCCTCTACATTCAGTCATTCAGCATGAAATATCCTGGGTTAAAAATCTTTAGCAAAATTAGGACACCGATGCAGGAGGGTCTCGTTACGCCCGAAGGCGAGTATATAAATCAAAAAAACTTGTCCGTGGGTGTCTGTATTGCCAGCAATGTCCTAGTAAACAGGCAATGTAAGAGGTTTTAAAAATCACATCAGAAAAAGGAAGCGTGTACAGCTTTGCGGTGGAGACGGCCACGGGAAGGGCTACGGCCGGGCTCGGCCGCAGGAGCGGGACCCCGAGCGCCGAGGGGGGGACGACCCCCGGGCGCTGCCTCGCTCAAGCCCGGTTTAAGGACGCGAGCGCATCCTCGGATGGCTCCGCGCCAGCCACCAGCGCTAACGTGAGGTAACAATACCTTGCTACAAAAAAATATATATATATTTATAAAACAACCAGGAGTAACCCTTCCAGGGGGGGGCTGCCAGCTGCGCCCCCCAGCTGGCGGGACCCCAGCCCAGAAGCAGCCCTTTCCCCGAGGCGGGGGGCTCTGCACCATCCACTTCTGCCAACGCCACGGCGGCGGCGGTTGGGTGGAAGCGGATCGGGGCGAGGGGGAGGCACGGGGCTGCTGCCCCCCGCGGCAGCGGCATCGCGGGCGCGGGCAGCCCGGATGCTCGGTAACAGTACGGACACCAGAGGCCATGCATATTTGTTCCGGTCTGGGAGGTTTTGTCCAGGCTCGTGCGAGGCGGCTGGCGTGCAGCCCCCGAGGAGGGATAGTGCATCGCTAACATTCACACAGGAGTACAAAAACTGGGTCCCACTAAAGTGTAAACTGCATCCAGGCTGCTTCAAAGCGAGCACAGACCGATCGGCAGTTTCTGCTCTGAAAAGACTTCAGAAACAAGGGCACTGTGAACACCAGGGAGGGGTGGAGAAGCACCATGGTTTCCTTGAAGATCACAAGAGTTTAAAATCCAAAAGTAGAGAAAGAGAAACGAGGGGGAAAGAAAAAAAAAAAAAAAAAAAAAAAAAAAAAAAAAGGAGGGTGGGGGGAAAGAAGCAGAAAGCTCTTCCAAGCAGCAAGGGGCCGCCGCTAGCCAAGGTGTCCTCACACCGTTGATACCAAACTCCCGCTGCCGCTGCGGAACAAAGCACAGGAGACTGCCAGAGTGGCCGGGACTGGCGACGCGCCGCGAGGCAGCACCGTGCCCAGGAGCCCAGCACCCCGCCGCCGAGCTTGATCCCTGCCCGGCACCTGGGGTTTGGGGTTCAGCCCCAAAAACGAGACAGGGCAGCTCCAAGGCAGAGGGAATGGGGATGGAGGAGCTGCTGGGTGGGAGAAGGTGCCGGGGAAAGACCCTGAGAGCGCGCGCTCTCTGCGGCCTCGCTATCGGGGGCTGTGGAGACGCAACTCGCTCTGGAGGAGCACGAGGGGCGTGAGGTTGGGGACGGCGGGGGCTGCCCCCGAGACCTGCCCTCCCCGGGAGACGCTGGGTCCCTCCGCAATCACAGACAAGCCCTGCACCGTGTCCTCCAGCGCACGGCCCCGTCCCAGCCGCCGCCTGCGCCCCGGGGAGCCCATGCAGGGACCCCCACGGCCTCACCCAGAGCCAACACCAACAGTTCAATTTCAGGTAACGTGAGAGGAAGGTGAATTCTTACCTGCTGACGGACCTCGTCCCGTAGTCGTCGAGACCCTGCGGAGAGGAGGGAGGAGGCATGGTGAAGGGTGGGGGGCGTGGGCTGTGCCCGTTCAGGTGCCACCGGAGGGTCACACAAACAGACCAAAGTGCATCAGGACCCAGGGACGCCAGGGCCGAGAGCCAATGCACTTGGAGAGAAAAGCTATGGAGATGATTCGAATGGGATTTAGACAGCAGAGAGTAAAGGTGCATCACTCTCCGGAGCAGGACTTTATCTGGCAAGACAAGGGAAAGCAACAGCCGGGAGAGCCCCAGTCTGCCCTGCCCAGCCCCACCCTGGCACAGAGCTCCAGCCACTTTCGAGGTGAGACACACTCAAAAAGGGATTAAACAAGTCTGAGAGACACCAGTGAAATGTTCTGTGCAAAGACATGTTTCGTCTGTATTAACTCCCACCAGAAATCCACAGGGGTTTGGACCATTTTCTCCTTCAGCTGGCGCTGAGCGGCCTTTGCAGCGGGGGAGGACTCTGCTGGGTCGGGGCGCAGGTGGGGCCCGGGCTCAGGGAACATCCCTCGAGGACGCTGCCCCTCGGGTGAGGGCCTGCCCTGGGGCACGGCCACCGAGCAGCTCTGCGCTCTGTGACAAACACGGGACCGCTCCAGGAGGGAGCGGGGGTCACTGGTCTGAGCTGGCCACGCACCAGGGATCAGAGACCCACGTTCCCACTGTCCCAGGACGCTCCCAATCACAAACCCCCAAACCCAGCAGCAAACCCTGCTGGGAAAACCCAGCAAAGAGCAAGAGGCGGGGCTGCGCTCCCGTCCCATCCCCTGCAGAGAGGGGCCAGATCCTGGCTGGAGCTGCCACCTCTCCAGAGCGCCCTGCTGAGGGGTTGGGTGCTGCACGGCTGCCTCTCCCCCTCCTCATCCTCTCCCGTCTGCTGGCACGTGCTGGGTGCTCCAGGGAACCCAACGCGGCTCATCACCACGCTCGTTCCAGCGGGGAAGCCCCACGCTCCCAGCGGCTCCTGGGTTAAGCTGGTCTCATCCGCACACTCGTTCTCCCCACCTCGTTATCTGAGAAGCCCTGAGCTCATTCTGGACAATCACCAGAGCCCCGGCTGGGGCCTGCCCAGCTCACCCCAGCTCACCCCAGCATCCCCACGGGCCCATCACCAGCTTCAGTCGGCACGTGCCAGAGAAAACGCTCCCAGGTGCCTGTGAACAGCCCATTTCTGGTGGGAGGCTCCCATGGAGTCGGCAAATGTTGTCCTTTGGGGGTTTACGGTGCCGTTTTGTGCCACTCTCTCCCCGTGCCTTGCCCGTGGCACCCAGGCGAGCCAAACCGGCCCTTCCTCCCCATCCGCTGGTCTCCTCTCCTGCCGCCTCCCGGCATCCCCGTCCCTTGTCCCCAGGAGAGATGCTCGGCAGGAGACAGGGCCTCGGACAAGGCACACGGGTTGCCAGGCAAAAGCGGCCAAACGCCCGCAAACCCCAAGGGCAACATTGCGTGCGTTCGGACTTACAGCTGTCGACCTAGCGTAAGGCTTGTAGTGAGCGGAGGGTGGTTGGCAGAGGCCACTGGAATAGTCTTTAATTGCACAACCATAGGGCACTAGGTAGTCCTACAAACAACGAAGACAGGTTGGAGAGCAGCCCTCCTCCACCTCCTCGTGGGCCACGCCACGCCAAGACCGAGAAGATGCTTTAACACATTTCACCCTTCTGCTGTAAAACCAGCGGCGGGACGGGGATACCGCAGACACCCGGGGCTCCGCGGGCAGGGCTCCAGCCGGGGCCACCGCCCCAGCGTGTGCTCAAGCATCTCCCGCTTATAAAAAGTCCCCCCCCTTTGGCCCGAAGTGGGAGAAGCCCCCGCCGCCCCGTGGGCTCACCTGGGAGAAGGCGGGCACGGCCACGCTGTACGGCCTCTGCTTGAAGGTGTTGACGCCTTGCGGCGGGAAGGCCTGGGAGGCCATGCCGTAGTCGGGTGGCGGGATGGCGATGTCGTCCTTGTCCAGCAAGTTCCCGGTGCTGCTGCTCTTCCCTTGCTGCAGGCTGGGGGGGCGGGGGGCACACAGAGCAGAGGCATCAGCACCAGCCTACCCTGGGCTGACACCCCCATCCACCTGCAGAGGGGGACCCCATGGCCAAAGCCTCCCCGCTCCGAGCTTAACAGCCTGTGCTGGGAGTTATTCACAGAATCAATCCCAGACTCATCTTGGCTGGAAAAGCCCCTGAAACTCCTCCAGCCCAACCATGACCCTCCCCCTGACCCTTCCCAACTCCCCCAGACCCCTCAGCGCTGGCTCAGCCCGACTCTTCAACCCCCCCAGGGATCCCGGGGACTCCCCCCTGCCCTGGGCAGCCCATTCCAACGCCCAACAGCCCCTTCTGCACAGAAATCCTTCCTCAGAGCCAGCCTGACCCTGCCCTGGGCAGCTTGAGGCCATTCCCTCGGGGCCTGGCGCTGGGGCCTTGGCTCCAGAGACTCATCCCCCCTCTCTGCCCCCTCCTGGCAGGGAGTTGCCGAGGGCCAGGAGGTCTCCCCTCAGCCT